GGAGGAAGAAATGGTGTTTGGATTTGGTAGTAGGTAAAGTTCAAGGTTTGGTTTCTTTTTGTAAAATGCTTTGATTTTATTTTAGTTAGGTATAATATCATGGTTTTTTGGGATCAAATGAACCATAAATGAGCTTGGGGATGAGAATTTCAGGCGAGTGAAGGAGTGGATTAGACTTTGATAACCACTTCCCGATCTCAACTTACCTCCAGCAACAGCCCCCTGAGCCGGAGCAAGAACCGAACCCTTACATCGCCGCCCAGCTACACCAAGAGGAGATCAGAAGAAACGTAAAGCGGATTCGCCCTTTTCAGGGCCTGCTAAATCATTGGGAATGGGAGCGGGAACGAGCCATTCGTCACGAAATGGAAAGTGAGGAAAGGAAGCACCTCCACCTTCTTCGTATCCAAAACCTCTTCTTAACTGAAAGAATGTTTAGAGTTAGACTCTCTACTATTGAGAAGTTCATAGATAGTTTAAAACTTATCCAAGGCTATGGATTGATATTCGTTAGTTGATTGTGATTTTGAGGAAGGTGTATGAAAAATTATGGCAGGTGTTTGCAGCAAGTGAAGGCAGTGAAGAGGGAGGTACTGAAAGACATGGAAGAAAAACCAGAGTTGTTGAAGAGAGAGAAGTGGTAGATGGCGATGATATTAGTGAAAATGGAGAGGGTATTGAAGGGCGTGGAAGTGAACTAGATCAGGTGGATGCAGAGGAGGAGATGAGCATATTGATGAAATTGGAGATGAATGTTGCTTTTACCGAGCTTATTAAAATTGTCTCCGAGGAAGATGAGTTAGCCAAATACAAGAAAGAGGATTGAGGAGTTGGAGAGCAAGTTGACAAGAAACACAATTGAAAGAGAAATTGAGGTCCATGGAGAGAAGGTTCATCAAAGTTGCAGAAGGAAGATTAGAAAGTGAATTTTGCTTTGAAACATATACTTCTTGAGATTGAAGATAGAGGGGATAAAAATATGGTTGTACAATGGAGAGTGGCGACGATTGGATATTTAGATGTTATGGTTGTTGTAGCTACCAAAACCTATGTTTATGTTAAAACGAGGAATCATTGATTGATTTACTAAAGTCAAGGTCGATTCTCTATTCAAGCTATACTGAAACCTATAGATAATGGGCGTCTAATTTTGTGCCTCAATACTTTGATCGAGTCTATTAGTGTATTGCATGCAATCCTAATTTTTTTGTTTGCTCTCAAGTTTTGGTGGTCTCCTTTTATTTGAGTTTGTAGCATATGATTTACTAGAATCAACAACTTTTTCAGTTCAATAATCACTTGTCTCTTTCAGTTCAAGGGTTTAATGGACTTAAGCAAAATCTATGAATCATCATACACATCATGTTGGTAGCTAGTTTGTCCTGATCATAACTAGGATAAATTAAATATAATGATCTACGTAAGCGTGAAACTAAAGATCTAGTAATTACGGACTTGTTAGTTTCTACTAAGATATAAATGAAGTTTTCTACTTCAGATTGAACTAATTAAATAGCTCAGTATCAGAAGGTTTCTTCGATCAAGCCAGGTTTTCACCACTAAAGCACTGGTTCTGTTCATATTAAGAGCCAAAAAGGGGAACTAAGCAGCTAATCGACATGATTCTCCTACCCGTTTCTGTGGACAAAAAAACCTATTAAAAATTACATAATTTCGTGGATATCATCCTTGAGAGTGTTATCCACCTAATAATGAGTATAAATGAAGGTGAGATAAGGTAGTTCATAACAACTTGGATTTTGAAAATATTAAGCACAATATGATTCACACTAGGGAACAACCTGATTATTGAAACATATATTTAAAGCTAAACACCTACGAAACATGAAAAAATAATTTATTATTAATTAATAATATATAATTCAAGCATTTGAATTCAAATCAAACTCTCTGTTTACTATGTACTATAAACACACACACTTACCAAGCTAGTATTTGGGTTGGGATTAATCAAATGAACGGCTATTTGCCGCCAACCAAATTGCCATTTGCCTCCAACTAAAAAAAATGGAATTCAAATTTTGAATTTCCCCTCCCAAGCATTCTATAAATTCGGATACCATTAACATTTGACTCATTCCAACAAAAACTTCTGTTGACGAGCCCAGTGCCTGCATCGCCGGCCAACCTCCCGTCGCCCTCAATCTTCGGAAAACAAGTAAGTTTACTTTTTCCGGCAGTTTTCCAGTTTTCCGGGAAGTTTTCCCATTTTCCGGCGAAAAAACACGGCGGTCCGAAAAAAATTTGCGGCGGGTGCGACGCAAGCCGAAAATTTCTTCCGGCAAGGAGGCGCCTCGGCCGCAAAAAATTTTAGGCCGGTCGCCGAACACGCCGGCTAAAATTTTTCCTGCGGCATGTTCGTCGGCCAGCCGAAAGGTATTTTCGGCTAGGCGTCGCACTGGCCGCAAATTTTTTTTGGCTCGGAAACGCACCGGCCAAAAAAAAATTTCGGCGCGGCGGCGCACCGGCCAAAAAAAATTTTCGGCCCGGCAACACACCTGCCGCAAGTTTTTTCTCCCCGACCGATTTTTGCATTTAATTTAATTTAATATGTTAATTAATTAATCAATAAAAAATTACTTAATTAGTTAATAGAAATTAGCAATTAGTGTTAATATTTATTTAAGTTGGTGTATGAATTTTTTTTTGGTAATAGGTGTATGAATGTTTAATTACTTAGATTAGTTAATAAAAAATTAATTAATTAATAATTGATTTAACAATTAATGTTAATATTCAGTACATTAGTTAATAGAAAATTAATTAATTAATAATTGTTTAACAACTAATGTTAATATTCAGTACATTAGTTAATAGAAAATTAATTAATTTGTGATTAATTAACAATTAATGTTAATAGTACATTAGTTAATAGAAATTTAATTAATTAGTGCGCATCTAAGTATGATATTGTATATTGTCAAAAAAAAAGTATGATATTGTGTAAATTTGTAGATAATTAGATATGGATGATGCGAGTGGGAGTGAGTTGCATAGATTCAATGGTAGGATTGTTGATGCATCAACACGAAGGAAGGTGCCTAAGAAGAATAAGGAGAAGAAGCGCTCTCAAGAAATATAACACATCAATATTCCTTTGAACCTAAACACTAATTTTAAGTCTTAACCGCTAAATTCAACTCCTAAACTCTAAATTCAACTCCTAAACTCTAAATTCAATTCTCACACGCTAAATTTAACTCTTAAACGCTAAATTCAACTCCTAAACTCTAAATTCAACTCCTAAAATCGAATTTTTCCTAAAAATTCCAAACACAGACGGTGGACCGAAAATTTCAGGCGGCCGGAACCTGGCGGGGCCGAAAATTTCCGGCGGCATGAACCAGGCAGGGCCGAAGGAAATCGGTGGGCCGGAGCCAGGCTGAGCCGAAAACATTTTGTGGCTCAGCCTGGCTCCGGCCACCGATTTCCGTCGGCCCTGCCTACTTCCGGCCGCCGGAAATTTCCGGACCGGCCAGGTTCCTGCCGCCGGAAATTTTCGGCCCACCGTCTGTTCGTTGCAAATTGTCGGAAAAATTGTTCGAAAATACAAAAAATTGACGCACCTGCTTAGTGATGAGTCATGGATGCGTGTCCGCAGTTTACGTCGAGGATGGGCTTTCCTGATGATTTTTCGGCGACTTTTCCAGCGAGCGTCGATTTTTTCTGATTCAATACGTTCTCTGAAAGTTGAATATGTTGTAGATTATGAAACTCCTTAACCAAAGATGTACATATATACTTTTTTTTTTGGTTGGCGGCAAATAGCAAGCCTCTTAATCAAACTCTATTGCACCTTCTCATCTCCAGATCTAAGGGTTGGGATGGGCTTAGTCAAGTGACTAAGCACCCCTTTAGTCACTAGATTCGCCCTCGGGTCGGGTAGGTGTCCCTGTCTCCCTGCCTGCCACTCCTTGCCGTTACAATACAGGTAAATGAAGGCCATGTGTTGAGTAGTTCCCGAGTTGACCTACATAAAAAGTTAGGGTTGGTTTGGATGGAATATTTGAGTGGGTTATTTCAAATAATCTATAATGATTTATTTTGACACAAATTCGTTTGACAGTATTTCTCTGAAATAAGTTATTTGGACAGTGAGTTATTTGAAGTAACTCCAATCCTTGTGTTATTTCGAAATAACTTGTTTTACCCCTATGCTTTTGTTAAATACCACATGCCAAATATCACATGTGTATTATTTTATCAAACGATAAACTTTAATACAATTACCATTGAAATGATACTAAAATATCACATGAACAATTAATGAGTTATTTGACTCTACAAATACCACATTGATCATTGATAATCCATCCAAATATATGTAATGTCCAATGTAGAAATTAAAATAATAGAATTACAATTTAAGAATAATATTTCTATACGATTGTGTTCTCGATTTCAAGAGCGAAAACGTTCTGATTGCATTATTGATTTTAGGGTTAATGCCACTACAACACCCGAACTATCCGAAAAATGTCACTTGTGTCCTAAATTATTTAATATTTCATTTCTGTCCTAAACTATTATTCCGTTAGTGTTAACCGTTAGTATTTAACAGAAAAACCAGTCAGCATCTGACGTGTTATTTTTAAATACTTAAATAACAACTAAACAAATTAAATAACTAAAAAATCCTACATAATCTCCCCGAATTCCCCTCCATGACTTCCTGCCACAATCTTCTACCCAACAACCTAAAAAATCTTCCCCCAATAGCCTAAAAAATGGGAGAGAAATTCCGCAATCTTCTCCCCAACAACTAAAAAATGCCACAATTTTCTCCCGAAGACAACCTCCCCGACTCTCGTCCACATTTTGAGTTCCACTGAGAGAGATAGCGAGTGGGAGAAAGAGGAAATCGGAGGGAAATCGATGACAACCTCCCCGAACCCGAACCCGAACCAGTAGCCCGTCCTCTAAAGAAGGGCAACGTAATGCTTTTTTCCAATTCGATATGTACATATGATTGTAGATACAAGGCACTCATAGGTTGATTGCAAATCATAGAGGAGGAAGGGGGAAGTAGAGGAAGGGGAAAGCGCCTCATCTCCGATCTTCTTCTTCGCCCTATGAAAAAGGGTGGTAGAGGCAAATTGTCGTCGAGAAACTTGGCCTGGGGATTCAATTTGTTGCGACGGAAAAAGCTCTGCTCGGAATCCTCTCGATCTACTTTGAAGTCGACTGAGGGAGAGAGAATCAAAGATGTTGGAATCCAGAGAAGAATTGGGTAGGACGATAACCAATTAACCGAAAAGCCCAGTGGACGGTCGGTTGTCGGAGATGAAAGGAGACTCGTCGTCTAGCCGATTAATTGATGGATGATAACTGTGGTTAAACGGCTAACCGACGCTAACCGACAACACCTACCTATCCCCCTAAACGACTTCATTTTGCGAGAGGAAAATCCCTAAAAATCAGAGAAACAACGACGGAAACCCTATTCCCCTTCTTCTTCAATTTCCATAGTCAACTTCTTATCTCCCAGCCTCCCCTAGACGGCCAGCCGACGAGAACCGGCCACCGCTCGGTGCAGCAGACGGGCCTCCGTCCCTCGCCTCCGTTCCCTGCTCGGCTAGACCCCCACCGCGAGTTCACGACGTCCCCCGCCTCCGCACCCTCTAGTCTGCGAAGGCGAGAACAAATCCCCTTTGGCCTCAGCATCCTCCGTCACCTCTCTATCGCCCCAATCCGCCCCCTCCGCCCCAAGCTGGTCGTCCCCTCCTCTATGCCCCTCCGATTCTTGCAGAGAAGTCGAGTATCCAACTGTTCAGTTTGCAATGCTAACTGATCCAAAAACTGGAAATGACTGGTCTGTAGTCGGTTAACCGTGCATAAAGCGTCAATCGGTTGTCGGAGCCTGTATGGAGGTGGTTCGGCTAACCGATAACTGATAATTTTGTTTTTGGTTAAATCGAAGCCAATTGCCATCCATCCCTAGTTGTTATTAGTCTTTTTTTGATGAACTAGATGTTATTGGTCTTAATGGAAATATATTTGTAAGGAAAATTTTGACGATACAAGGATGTGTGATGTTCGAAGAGATAATGTGCGGTTATGTTCGTCAACCCATGAGTACCCATGCACCCGTTGGATTTGGTAGAGTTTTCTATTCTCAAATTCTGTGGATATTTTTATCAATTATATTGTGCGGGTAAACCCTCTAAATTGATTGTCATCCATTGTAAAGAGTAATTTTCAAGACAATATTTTCTTTGTCACTGCCACTCATCATGAACTTCGAATGGATACTTATTGAATTGAGTTGAATTCTCTACTAAAATTTAGTGAATATTTGTCGTTTTTTGGGTTAATATATTTGTATGGCTCGAACTTTTCACATATTAAATATACTGGCAAATCTTTTTGATCCATAACTTCGTGGCCTCCACTATCCATCAAAGTTACGAAATTGGCCAAATCCGAAATTTGACCATTATCTTGGATCACTGCTAAGTCAGCATAGACTAATTAAATTTTTTGATTTTTTACACCTATTACCATTTATCTTTTTTATTCTGAATTTGTTTTCCTTTTTTTTTTCTTCTTTTGTTCTAAATAAAGAAGATAAATGATAATAGATGGAAAAAACGAAATTTTTAAAGTAGTTTGTGCTGATGTGGCGCGTTGGCTGTTAGTCAATGCGTTTGACCGTTAAAGATAACAGTCAAATCTCGGGTTTGGCCAATTTCATAACTTTGATGGATAGTTGAGGCCACGAAGTTATAGACAAAAAATAGTGGTCAGGATATTTAATATGTCTAAAGTTCGGGCCATACAAATAAATTTTTATTTTTCTCAGAATGTTCCATTTAGATTTCAACAGTAACCATTGCCATCCGAGTAACTAATGAGTATTTTTTTTTATTACCCAGGAACCTCAACCAGATACTGTGGCCACCCGATACCTGTTATAAACCGAACAGAAAAATTATGGTTACCGATCTGGGTGAGTCGCGGACTAGGTCGCTCTCTTTAAGACGTTCGCGGCACTGCCTCGTTATTCGCACAACAGACTATCAGCCGGTCGCCTCCAGGATAAAACAGCCACTCTTTTGATTTGCTCAGCGGTTTTGTGCGGAAAACCGGAGCTTTTTGAATCTCACTCTCTCGTGTTTCTGCTCTCTGAGGTCTGTTTAGAGGGTCTGTGGCGTCTCCTATTTATAGGAGCAAGAACCCAGAATATTCCCTCTTTCTTTGGGAATAAGTCATATTTTAATTAGGGAGATAATTACTCCCATAATTAAAATATAATCTATTAAGCTAATTATTCCTAATTATCTCCATAATATTCCTTTTATTAATTATCCATCTTATTTATGTATTATGGGAAAATACTGGATAATTAATTAGGAATTTCATTTATAGCTTTTCAAAGCTATTCATCCCAACAATCCCCCACTTGAATAGTTTTGAAACTATCTTGAGCATCAACAGTTCCATAAGATCGGGCATAAGCTAAGGTATCGCGAAGATTTGAACCTTAGCGTAGTGGTTACACTTCCGATTTCATAAGGGTGACTCGTAGTCTTGAACCCTATCTCAGACAATGTAGCACACCAGATCTTTTCATTGAGTGATATTCTCTCATAGGCCGTGCATTTATGGCCATGCACGTTATCCCGGTTTAGTGAACGCTCTAGCAACTTTGTGCCTCCAAAGTTCCATAGGGAGCGGCCCCACTCCCACATTCACATAGTTGAGTCTATCAGAAGTACCCTCAAAGTAAAGTACTTCACTCCACATATAGTATAGATCTCATTAAGAGTTTAACTCAACCTCCAAGGCTTTGGGATTCATGCTTCACTATGCATGAACTTTTCTCAATATTACCCATGACTTGTTATTACCCATTGAACCTGTTTCTTGGGATCTCCAGTCTATCGGGTCGGGTTACCATCACTTGTAATCCATGGATCGGTAGGCATAAGTCTCATACCTTTCGAGGTATTTTGGAATTTTCTCTCTAGGTAATCCTTTCGTCAAAGGATCAGCTAGATTCTGTTAGGATCTTACATGATCCACCCTCATTGCTCCTATCGTTAGGAGTTCTCTTACATTACCGTGCTTGACGAATCTGTCGTCTCTTTTCGTTTTAGAACCAGTTCCCTTCTTTTGCAATAGCTCCGGTGCTATTACAATGAATCAACTACCGGAGGGATCGGTCTTTCCCATAAGGGAATCTTTAGTAATGAACCTCTCAATCAACTTTCCTCTTTACTAGCCATTGCTAGTTTCATCATTTCTGATTCTTTAGTCGATTGAGCCAGAATCGTTTAGTTCTTAGACTTTCAAGACACAACTCTTCTGGGCATGTTAATACATGCCCACTGGATGCCTTGGAGTCCTCTATAGGGTATTATTGTCCGCATCAATATACCCTACCAATACAACAAGAAACTGTTGATAACATATATCAAGGTCTATTGTTCTCTTAAGGCATCTCATGACCCCTTTCAATATCATTTCAATGCTTCATACTAGGACAATCAGTAAACCTGCCAAGTACCCCCATTATGTCGGGTCTCATGTTTATCAGCTGCCTCTTGCAGACTATCGATGCTAGTATGTTCTTACTTTCTTACACCGTCTTTGGTGCTCTTTTAAAAATTGTACTAGCATCTTCAAATATTTAGGCAAGAGTATAACTTGTATTTCTTATAGATCTTAACCAAACAGTTAGATTGATCTATAAAAAATTTCTTTCACTGTCCTAGTCATTTGGATCTCTAAGTGAAACACTTGGATCCTTCTCATCAATATTCTCACTCAACATGGGTTTTCACATTTATTCATGTCATGAGTCTTTGCAACAAAGAAACATGTCTTTTATAGTGCAAGTGTCGTTCTCAAGTTAGTAACAAATGCACTTGCCACTTTCATTCAAAACCATGAGAGAGAACCATCCATCCATGCCATGATTTTTAAAGTCTATTTCAAATCATACCATGATTTTTCTCACCATAGACTTTAAAATCATGTTCAGGAATAACAACCTTTTAGGTTGCCCATTCTAGATTTCTTTATCTAAATCACCATTCACAAAATACAATTTTAACATCCAGACCATACATGGATGTTATTCTAGATTTGGTGAATAGATATCAAGAAAATCTACAATTTTTTCCTTTTCACCTTAAGTCTTAACTACTAAACCATTAGGTTTCAGTTTTCTTTTGAGAATCCATTTATTACCTTTGCTTCATTGCCAGGAGGTAATTCTCAAAGATGCCAAAACTTGTTCGATTTCATCGATATATTACCTAAGGCTTTACAACCAAAAGGTAACTCTACAAGTTTCTAAGTCTTATTAGACTCCAAACATTTCATTTTGTTAATAATGGATTCTCCCATAAATCTGCATCTTTATGAAACTTCGAACTTCTAGCAGACTTGTAGGATCTTTCTTTCTTAGGGTGTAAATAACAAATTCATAACCAAAATCCTTTCATGATTTATGGTTCATTTGTCTCTTCTGAGTTCATACCCAGATTCATCACCCCCACTAGTAATCCATTATTTCTAATAGTAGGCAGGATATCACCTCCACTATTCCTTAATATAAATGGAATCTATTGGCATCCATGGATTCCACAACATAATGAGTATTTCATAGGTTTATGTGTTTTAATATTGTTTAACCAATTAAAACACATTCATATGCTCTACCAGTCATCATATTACACTGATTCTTCTACCAGAAGCATGCAACATATACATCAAATAATCAGTGAACTCATTACGCGATAAAACATTTCAAATAAGCATCTAAAATTATCAGACAACCTATCATAGCACCCTATAGAGCAATAAATCATCTATTGTCTTTCTATCACGTTTACCCATATCAAAATAAATCAGATCTATCGATTCTGATTTTCTAACCACATATTTATGGGTCATTTAACTTGGATACAAAATCTGAATCGCTAAATGTCACCCTTAAAATTGCTAACGGTCGCCCTAACTCTAATGATAAATGACTTATATACCCCTAATAAAATTTCAAAATATAAACAAACCAAACAATCCCTAACCTCTCAAACTAAACCCCTCATCTGCCTTCTTCGCGAATCCCTCTCGACGCACCAGTTCGTCAGCGTCTTTCCCGCCGTCGTCGCCGCCCATTCTCTAACGAAATTTCCAAAAAAACGCTCAACCTAAGGCAAGTTACGGTTGGTCCATGGTGCAACCGCAACTCACTTGCGGTTGGTCCATGGTGCAACCGTAAGTGAGTTGCGGTTGGCCCATGGTGGAACCGCAAATGAGCTGCGGTTGGCCCCTGGTGCAACCGCAAATGAGCTACGGTTCTCTTTTTTTGTTTTTTTTTACAATTTTTTGAGTGAACTTTACCGATTCAGAGTCGCTAGTCATGATCCAGACATCATATCGACGATTCCAACTCCAGAATGACGATGATGGATTCTCTCTTTTGAATAATGTTTTATTTTCTTTACTAAGTGGTGTTTGTTTGCTAAAGGAAGAGTAAAGAAGCTAAAAGGTTAAATTTGTAACTTTGATGTTTTTTAGGGCGACATTTAGCAATTTTAAGGGCGACCTTTAGCAACTCCCTACAAAATTCATATCTAAAGTGTTCAAGAAAAATATGGGAATGTGACATATGATATTCAAAGTTAATATTTACTTCCACTTTTCCAGAACCATCGAATTTAGTGGTAATGGCACTTCCCAACAACACTTTCTCCTTCGATACACCTCAATATATGATTGAGCTTAGCTCCTTTATCACACATATGCCTTGAGGCGCCAATATCCAACCACCATTCTTCAGAGTTGCCTTTAAGGCCTAGCTCTGTTATCACCTCAGTGATCATTACCACCAAATCCTCTTCTTTACTCAAGTTTACACTAGGTCAAACTTGTTCTTACACTTTCGTGTTATATAGTTTTCTCGCAACTTTAGCAGAGAAACACATCGTTATTCTTTAGAGGATTGGCACGCAATTAATGGTTACCACGAAGGGTACCATTCTATTTGGTGTGGATCTGGTTCAACTTGATGCTCTCATTCTTGAAACTTTAATGTTTCAGAGCAACCTCAGTGGTTCATGTGACAATAGTACTTCCTACAATATCGTCACTATGAACAATTAACCCATTCTATTACCATATATTCTTCATATACACTCATGTAAACAAAATTACTCTATTCCATAACATGCATTCAAATTTATGCTCTAATAATTGAGAAAAGCACATCTCAATGTCAATATGGTCATGCATCAATTCTAGGTTTACTTCATTGCATTCACATGATTTCTCAATATCATGCATAGAGCTTAATGGAATAGATTCTAACTTGCGAGAAAGATTTCAGTACTTACCTCTTTTAAAGAAGTCATTGCATTCTGATTTTGTGAGCTAGCTCTTGTTTATTGCCATGATTCTCTCCACTTTAATTACCCACCACCATAGCACACCATATGCTCTCAGTGCCCAAGTTTGCGTTCTCTGCTGCTAACAGAAGCGAGGCCCAAGCCCACTTGCTTGCCTTTAGCTTCGAACTGGCCTTTCAAAATCCGGTCCGGTTGACTGCGAGACTCAAGTTTGTGTTCCGTGCTGTGAGGCCCATTAATTTTAGAAACATGGTTTACAGGCCCAATTAATCCATTGTTGTGTTCCGATCAAGCTCCGCTTGACCCTTGGTATTGCCAAATAGCTTAAGCAGAATCCCGGATGACAATAATACATGTCTTTGGCCCATTTAATTGTTGGGTCCATTTTCCAATTGACTCCAACTTCGTCTCTTTCTTCCATCCGAGGTGGCAGACTGGCAGGTACATGAACAAGGACCTCGAGCCATATAGTCTCAATGAGAAAATTCGATTTACCGCGACGATTTCTTGCTTCGGCTGCTCTGGTAGGCGAGCGGTGGAGAGTTTTCTCTGCACCTCTGGGGAGCTCGCCAAGTAAACGAAGCCGACCCTCTGGAGTCAGCAGGCAGCGACATATAATGTTTCCAATCCCAAGCACGACGTTGAGGTCGTGGATCTTGTGGCCCAGCCCGACGCAGCAATTGGCGTGCATGGTTCCGGGCCGGCTCGCAGAATCTGCCGAAGTAGGCCGTGTCCAGGAACCAGACATTCAGCCCGATGGCGTCGAGTAACGCGTCGAACTTGATCTTGTTCAGCACGTCCTGATCGTGCATCCCCGGAAAACTCTGTCTCGCGTGGTACCAGAACTGGTAGAACTGGAGGGTCCGCACGTTGGACCGCACGAAGGTGAAGCCGCCGTTGGGGCGGTTGCGGCGGTCGGTGGAGGATCCGTCGCCGCGGCGGCCCGTGTACTGGTCGCACGCGATCTGGAAGTCGGCGTCTTTGTAGAAGCGCGGGAATGGGTTCCGAAACCACATTATGTCTGCATCCGTGAAACAACTCTGCGAGATTGGATTGAGGATTTGAGGGCAGCGATGGTGTCCACGATCGAACCAGATCTATTCGGCAAACAAGACAGCAACCGAGCGTCTTAAAATTGTTATAAACCGAACAGAAAAATTATGGTTACCGATCTGGCTGAGTCGCGGACTAGGTCGCTCTCTTTAAGACGTTCGCGGCACTGCCTCGTTATTCGCACAACAGACTATTAGCCGGTCGCCTCTAGGATAAAACAGCCACTCTTTTGATTTGCTCAGCGGTTTTGTGCGGAAAACCGGAGCTCTTTGAATCTCACTCTCTCGTGTTTCTGCTCTCTGAGGTCTGTTTAGAGGGTCTGGGGCGTCTCCTATTTATAGGAACAGAAAACCCAGAATATTCCCTCATTCTTTGGGAATAAGTCATATTTTAATTAGGGAGATAATTACTCCCATAATTAAAATATAATCTATTAAGATAATTATTCCTAATTATCTCCATAATATTCCCTTTATTAATTATCCATCTTATTTATGTAGTATGGGAAAATACTGGATAATTAATTAGGCATTTCATTTATAGCTTTTCAAAGCTATTCATCCCAACAATACTTGGGGTATCTATATCAGCAATATTTTCAAGGCCTAGCACCCGATGCTGGGGGAGATTTCGTCTCCAGCACTTGCCGTGCCTCCGGGAACACCAAGTGATGTAATGGGGTTCGAACCTGAAAACTTACACATCTCAAACCTGAAAGACCACACTCCGACCAACTCGGTTATATATATATATGTTTTTTTTCCATTGCCACTCAACACGAGCTTCTGACGAGTGTGTAATCCAATTTCAACAATGGCGGAAGCAGCAAGCCTGGTCGACACATCATCCCCAATCGCCAAGCAGACCTCCTCCCCATCCTCCACCGCCGCATACCTCCAGAAAACAGACGAGCTGCAGAAGGTGTTCGAGAAATTCGACTCCAACGGCGACGACAAGATCTCCCTCTCCGCGCTCGTGGACGTCCTCAGATCCATGGGGACGAACTCCTCCCCTCCAGATCTCCAGTGCGCCATGGAGGACATCGACACCGACTAGGACCGTTTCATCAACCTGGAGGAGTTCGCGCAGCTCTGCCGCTCATTCTGGGGCGCCTCAGCGGCCGCCGAGCTCCGCGAGGCCTTCGATTTGTACGACGAGAACAAGGACGGGCTCAGCTCCGGGTCCGAGCTCCACCACGTGCTCCATGGAGGAGTGGTTCAGGATGATCAAGGGCGTCGATTCTGACAGCGACAAATGCGTCAATTTCCAGGAGTTGGAGAAGATGATGGCCAACGCCAACAGTGTTGCTGCTGCTGTCGTGAACTAGCATCCCCCTCCTCGCTCGAATTGAAAGTTCCCCGCCGCCGGTATCTTCTGCTTTTTCTCCGTTTCCGTCTTTCGTGTCTCCGTTTGTTCTACCAATTGTGATGTTGTCGAATTCGAATATGAAATCTGGAATACTCATTAGCGGGTAGCCATTAACGAATGCTTGGGGATGTTATAATTAGGTCACTCCTAGACGATCCCTTTGCTTATCTATGATTGATACTAGTACTACAAGGACTACATATATCTGATTTGAACTGTGTATGTATGCAACCTAATGCAATTGGCCCAATTTTAGAATGCTTTCGTCTATACATCCCCTTTGCTGTTTTGAATTGGATGACTCGATTATTATGTATTCATGTCTAAAGTGTCATGAATCATGATGCAAAGATGGTGGAAATGTGGGTTTTTGGGTAACTTAATCTTCGATTAAAGAAACATTTTGGGGATTTAAGATTGATGGTGGTGGGTTGGTCGACGTCACTTGGATTAAGGCAAAGAAAAGGAAGGCCTTGGTGGTGGTGTGAATGATTCTTTCTAGTCTGGTTGGCTATAGAGAAATTTCTTGGGTGGTCAAAATTAGCAGACTAATTCTGTAGTGAAAGGGCTGCTGGCTGCATTAAAATAGTTAGACTCGAGTCTTGTAAACGAGGAAATCAATTGAAGATGGAGGAGATGAGTGGGTGGATTTTGTCCTTTCCATGCATTTACTAAGGGAAGGGAAGTTGATCGATGACGAAGATATGGCAATTAATATATAAAAGCTTAGGTTGTGAGTTATTATTTATTAGTGGCTTTCACATTCCTTCAAGTGCAAGTGGTGAAGTTCCAAATTGCTTCTTTTACCACACTCTCCATTTTATAACCTTTGTGTTTAACTATTGTTCACTAGGTTTAAATCTATTGAACCCAAACACAAGGGTATCCTAACTTGAACCCAATGTCGCTATCACGAGTTTTGTATCGGGACCGAGTTTCATCCTCTTTAGTGTTTTTACTTTTCTCCTTTTCCTTTTTGTTCACCGTCATCACAATTGAACCCAATCATTAATTAATATATAAAAGACATTCGATTCGTTCAAGGCGACTTGAAACTAACTTTAGTATTTATGAATTTCTCTTTCTTTCTTTTGGTTGGGAAGACAATTGAACCAGAATGTAAGGTATTAATCTTCGATTTGAAAATACAAACTTTTCCTTACCATATAATATTCGTTTTCTAGAAAACATAATTTTATTTCTTTTATCATCATAAAAAATAAATTGAAAAATAGTATTATTTAATATGAAATAAATCCAATGTTATCCATTTTAAATAATTTTTTATTTTTAGAATTTATATTCATACTTTATGTTAGAAATATTTTTTAATAATTTTATATGACCTCTTATATTAGAAAGTAATTCTGATAGTTTTTCAGCTAAACACTCAACTGTTTTTTTTTTACTACTTCATCAAAAATTATAGCGGGATCAACCACTAGCCATACACATTGAAACAGTAGCGTCATGAGAGAAGTTTAAACATAAATAATATATTCAATGACCGTTCTACCTTATGCAAGTTCATCGACTATATGATATTGTAAATAAAAAACCTATGAAAAGAATTATTAAGAATGAAATAAGATTACTTTCACTTTTGGGTCAACATTAAAACTATTACTCTTTAAAATATTTATTTTTCTAATGCGCGAAGCGATAGCGAGCGGGCTTTTGCTAGTATTATAAGAAGTGAGGTTGACCAAAGCAAGGGGGAATGGGCAATTTGTGACTTGTGCTAGCTTTTGCTTGCCATTTAAGGGGTCATATTAATTGCAGGCTTTGGTCAATTCTTCTTCTTAATGGCTTGGCAGTGTTTCCTGGCAAATTGGGAAGTGGGGATTAGTCTACAAGCTGGTACTTGTCAAATTGGGCGTTTGTCTGACTTGTACTATTCTGAAATTGATTTACTGGGTTTCTCTTTTGAGGTTGTCCTTCGAGGAAGTGTTATCATATTGTTCTCAAAGCATAACGAAGAACAGTAGTTCGAGAGAGCATTGGATAGCTTTTCCCTACCTCCTCATGAGATTGTTGGAAAGTATTGGTCTGTCGGTTGTCAGAGATTAAAGATTAAATTGGCGACCGACTGTTTAAGGTTTAGGGTGCACCTATGGTGCCTTGCAAGTCACGGTAACTTGTACTTTTTGGTCGACCTATTTCTACCCGAGATTGACCGAATACATTAATGTGGGCACTCTAATGACTTACCACGGTCCACCCTGAAATGTAGTGGTCTGTCAGTTGTCAGAGATCAAATTTGCGAGATCGTCTGTTTAAGGTTTAATGACTGATGCGAAAAAAGTTATGATTGGGTTGTGTTTGAATCGTGTCATCTTTACATCCAGAACTGTTGTTGAATTTGTGATGATCGATTTATTATTATTTGGGCAAATGTCACGTTTAGACATTGAGTTTACTAAAACATGTCATGTTTAGTCACTGGAAAAAATTAATATCAATGTTGGTCACTCGAATTAGTAAAACGGTCCACGTTTAGTTACTCTACGTTAGCTTTCGTTAACACTATCAGTTAATTGCTTAAGTGGCTAACAGCAGTGCTGAATCACCCTTTTTTAACTCGCCACATCACGTCACTCGGCCCGCCACGTCATCTTTTCCAACCCAACCAACCTATGAACCGACCCCTCTATCCCTCTCTCTCCTCTTCGCTTGTCCCTCTCTAATAATAACCTGCCATCGAAGACCCAGCCCCGGTTGGAGACGTTGGCGGTTGGATCGGCATGGGCATAGATGTTGTAGAGCGGTCTCGCCGAGGGCGGGCGGAAGAATCTCTCCTAGAGCTGGGCGAATTGGAGGTCAGTGTTTTTCAGGAAGAGGAACACGATCTTGAGCTTGGGCTTGGAGGAGGCGAGGTGGGAGAAGGAGGAAGGCAGTCAGGCAGATGCATCACGAAAGAGGGAGAGGTCCTCGAGCTCATCGGAGGGGGAGATTGGGATGGAGGAGGGACGCGGGGGGAGGATTCGAGAGTGGGGAGGAAGAGGACTGGGAGAGAGAAGGAGGATGCCGATGACGGTGGTCGAGGAACAGTTGGAATGGAATGTCGCCGATGAGGCCTGACTGCCGTTGGTCGGCATCTCTATGACTGCTTCAGATTGAAGAGAGGAATAAATAATGCTGAAATGGGGAGGGGAATGGGGGAAGTTTTAGGGTTTCGGAAATCTAGGGATTAGGCAATTTGGTTAGGGTTTTCTGGTGGGAAGAGAAACAGAGAGGAGGAGGGATAGGGAGTAATGGCAGGTTTTTGGGGACAGTAGGAAGTTGGGAAGGAAGAAGGAAGAAGGATAACGCTTAAAATTGGAGTGGAAATTGTGAGTAATGGCAGGTTTTGTGTTTTATTTATTTTAATGATGTAAAAATATTAAAAGAATAAAAATTATTTTTTATTAATTTTTTAATTGTCACTTTAGACATTTAACGGTCAACTGTTAGGGTTGACTATCACATCAGATAAAGTTAGCAGAGAGTGCCTAAACATGGATCGTTTTAAGAATTTGAGTGACCAAAATTTATATTAATTTTTACAGCGTCAAAACATGACACGTTTTTGTAAACTCAGTGACCAAACTTGGCATTTACCCATTAGTATTTGTTTGTGTCTAAATGAAAGGTAAACACAGTTTCTAAAGGGACGAGGCTATACTTATTTATATTGAAATTGGAGTGTCGGAGAGTAAAAATTTCTAGAGAGAAGTGTAATTCAAAAAAATAAGTAACTTGCCTTGGGTAAATGTTCTATTTATAGCATTTAGGTAGGTGAACATTTAGTACGATGAGGCATGTTTCCAGGTACTTAAGAAACTTCAGAATGTGTCTTGTAGTAGCGTGCACAAGTACAACTATATTGACATCTCCAAGCTAAGAGTGACGTGCGACCATAAAGTGCGCTAGCAAGAACAAGTGGGTGAGCGCTGATGAGCCTAGGATACCATCCCCAAAACTTTCCCCCAGCAAGAGATGTGGTTGCTTTCTGATGTCTTGTGGGTGTGCTTTGTTCGGGAATCACACTTATGATCCAGATGCGTTGTGGATTGGTACACGGTTATGGGATCTTGGAGCGTTCGCCTTGTTCTATGAGTGTGCGAGATTTATTTTTGTCCGGCGCGCTGCCTTCTTATGTCCTGTGGATGTGCGTTTTTTGGGAACGATTATAACAACCCAGACATGTTATGGATTGGGTGCACGATTGTAAATTATATGTGTTGTTCTGTGAGTGTGCGAGACTTTACTTTATAAGAGAAATTTCAATTCCTTCTTGCTGTTATTTCGGTCTTTTGCTTCGCAAAATATCCGTTCTAATTCCTTCTCCTTTGTTGTAGACCATCAGCCTTATTTTCTTTGTGATGTTTTCATTTCTCTCACCTTCAACATGACCATCAAGGAGGTTTGATGGAGACATAGGTCGACTTTGACAAAAAAGGTAAACAATCGAGCTCTCAGATAAATCTCTTTGATAGTTCTTTAGACTTCTAGGGTTTTGATGGTGGGGAGAACCCTATGTTATTTAATGGGGAGGTTCCGGCGATGCCCTCATATGACGTGGCTTTAAGTAGAGATTATTTGGAAGGATCATCTGGTGGGTAGGTGCGGCGTCTCGAAGGAAAAACGCCTATGGTAGTATGGTCTTCCAATGAAGCGGCGCCGTTGGCATGTGAGAATGTTGGTTGTACATGGCGGTGACCTGGGTAGGGCAGCTCGTCTGGAAAGGAAGGATGTTAGGCCCTCTTATACGGATTTTGATCGTCCGTCGGAAGTAGTGCGCGTATTAGAAGCAGTGAGCCGACTCGAGATGAGCGTGGTAGATAACGAGTATACGATGTTGCTCCAAAAAAGACCAAATCAAATCTCTATGGTGGACAGTCCAAGTCGCATGAACTTGGGTTGAGGCCTCTCAAACGGTATGGGTTGGGGTTGGAGCGGTTGCTACATGACCTCCCTCGCCCCATGATTGCGATCATATGATTCATTTTTTCTTGCATGTCAAATATCATCTTATTTTGTTGCCCTAACTACGCACAGATTTCTTCACCGAAATCTCTGTCTCTTCTTCGATTAGCACGGTGTTGTGTTCCATCGACCTGTCAAAGATCCTCCTACTAGCGAATGCCTTCAACGAGATGGTATTATCGTCCGTAGGGTTTGAGGCCGAGGGTTTTCCCATACCAATGATGGTTACTTCCCCCAAGAATTTTGAAGTTATGTGTAAACATCTTGAGAATATAAAAGTTTGTATAAACTAAAGTAAAAATATAAAAGATATTTAAGTGCACTAATGTTACCAGGAAATGATTGTAGTGTAGCGGAAGAGATGATATTTGTTACTTAGAGGTTCAAGGTTGAAGCTTCAGCTTGGTCTTTTTATTTTGTGTAGTCCAAAGGTCTAATGATGGCAATTAAAATTTTCACCTTACAAAATTTGAAGAGTTTTTCAAATACTAGTATAAGTAGATATTCATTTCTATACTTTTGGGCAGATAATGAATGATTTTTTTTCAAATACTAAAATAAGTAGATATTTAATTTTGAATTTTGAGAATAGAATGAGTTACATAGTATTTTTTTGTGGGAGAGTTACATACTATTGGAATTGTACTATTAATTTTTTTTATTTCTATTGTAAATGAGTTACACAGTATTTACTCTTGCTCTCTCATAGAATTGGCCTATTTTTCAATATGATGTGAGTATGCTTTTCTTCAAGGCCCACTACAAGAAGTAGTATATATGGAACAACCACCAGGCTTTCATCAACCTGGTACTATCGATCTAGTATGTCGTCTTAACCTACCTATATATAGTCTCGAACAAGCGCCACGTGCTTGCTATACTGCATTGAGCTCTTTCCTTGAAGACCATGGATTTCGAAAGACGAGTTCTCCCTCTTCGTATATCATCAACATCATATTACTCTCTACTTTCTCATTTATGTTGATGATTTACTTCTCACAGGAAATGATGCCAATACTCTATCTGCATTTTAGAATCAATTATCCGAAAAGTTCTCTCTCAAACACTTGGGTGATATCAACTACATTCTTGGCATTGAATTTATTCACACTACTGAGGGCTTTCTTCTTTCTGAACACAAGTACGTGCATGACAATCTCTCTCGGTTTCATATCCTTGAAGTCAACCGGGTAGCCACTCCTCTCTCACCCACCACTACTCTCTCGCTTGTGGATGGTAGTCCGCCTATTGACAGAACTCAATATCGACAAGCAGTTAGGACTCTTCAATATCTTATCTACACTCAACCCGACATTGTATTTGTTGTTAACAAGCTATCTCAGTTTATGCATGCTCCTACTTCCACCCACTGGCAATGTGTCAAGCTTCTCTTGCGCTATGTTTGTGGCACCATGCATTATGGACTATCTATTCGTCGCCAATCACTTCTTCTCACCCTATCTGCATTTGCTGATTCTGATTGGGCAAGTAATCCTGACGACCGGACCTCTACCTCTGCTTATCTCATCTACTTAGGGTCCAATCTCATCTCCTGGCGCTCGCAAAAACAATGTATGGTTGCTCGCTCAAGCACTGAAGCTGAATATCGTGCTATTGCTCAAGCTACTACAGAACTAGAATGGGTGCAAAATTTACTACGAGAGCTTCATCATTCAGTCACCACACCACATGTTCTTCTGTGCTAATCCACGATTTCATTCTCGTATGAAGCACCTAGCTCTTGACTACCACTTTGTTCGACAACTTGTCCAAACTAGTCAGTTACGGGTTCAACATATCTATACCACTCATCAGTTGGCCGATGCTCTAACTAAGCCATTGACTAGTCCTCGCCTACTTCTTCTTCAGTCCAAGATTGGAGTCGTTGATACGACATCCATCTTGCAGAGGCGTAATAGAGATATTCAAAATCATAAATGATGCATTTGGAATTAACACAAATCCAACCTCACCCTCGATTGTAATTATTTGTATTTGCCTCAATTAGCTCCATAAACATTCCCTTATATATGTATATATACCTTCTAATTGTATGTATCAATAATATACAAGATTCAAATCCCAAATTTCTATTCCTATAATCATAATATTAAGTAGCAGTAAAATTAACTTATTAAGCTAAGAACTCGTGATAGGTACTCATCTGTTGTCCGACACTGAAAACAACTTTCATTAGGAGGAACTTTAAGGGGAAAAGAATTGGGGTAAAATGATTACGCATTATATATCTTACTGTAACCTGTCCAAAATCCTAGTTTTCATTTGTTTACTTGATAAACTTTGTTAAAGCAACACATAATTAGTATTATATTAGGCTCATCGAGAGGTACGGTAATCTTACACGACGACATATGTAGGGAAATAAGTAAATAACTACATTAGTATGTGAGCCAAGTGAGTCTTCATCAAAGGATCGGACTTTCTAAAATATATATATATTTTAATAGCTCTCAAACATGTAGAAGAGCTCTGGGGGGAAAGGGTATGTCTAAATCTTCTTGCATATTATTAGTTGAGAGATGGGTACCCCATGGTTAGATCCTAGCTGAGTCCTTTGTGAGAGAGTTGTAAGACCGTCTTTGGCCGTTAACCTATCTCACCTGCAAGTTAGATCCAGCCTTTCTTTACCTTCTTTCCTCTAGTCATGAGTTTGATTTTTAGACCTTCCTATTCTTCCTCTAATTCTGACATCACCAGGAACCGAGTGATCAACCAAGAAGAAATTAATTTTGAAACTGTTAGTAAAGAAATTGATAATTGGCAAATTCCTAGGATTGCCCAAAAGGAAATTTATGAGCAAAGCAAATTTAACTTCCTCAATAAAAAGGATTATACCATCAAAACCGAAGAAAGAGATATTCATCTTTTGAATGATTAAGAAACTATCAAACTTTTGTCTCAAAATTCTATTCAACAACACAAAAAGAAGTACAACTATATCCATATTGGGTTAGTTCAAGTAGGGATTAAGCCTCTATCCAAAGAAGGCCTTAATACTGCTATTTTAATGGTTTTACGAGATTGTCGGTTTCTTGAGTTTAACGACTCTTTACTTGGAACTGTTGAATCAAGTCTTTGTAATGGCCCAATTTACTTCAATTGTTTTCCAAACTTTACTGTGTCTCTTCATGACAAATATATTTTAGATGTTTTAACCC